TCACTGATTTTACCAATTTTACTTTCCTGAAAACCTGTATTAATTGGGTTCTTTCTTCCTAACGTGATAATTCTCCTCCAAAGTGTTCTCTATAACTCCATCAGGTGGACTTTTCAAACCTTCGGGCAAAATGTTGGCAGACAGCTACATTGTTCAAACGTTACCGTAGCACTAAGTTAGCAGTGCGCAATACAGGATGCTACAGACGGAGCGCTCCGCTTCTCTCACGCACCCCCCACACACACACACACACGCAGTCAGTGCTTCAGCCAGGCTTGTGAGGTTGTTATGGTTACCAGATGCCTCCACCACTGAAGCCTTGAAGCTTTTTTTTGGCACAATTGTAAGAAAAGCTTCAGTGCTTCGTGAGGCGTCTCATGCCCATCGCTACAATAAGGTGTCTGCAATTAGCTGTGACCTATAAGAGAATGGATAAACATGGATTAACAAGTCTACTCAATAAACAACTTGCTCTGCTGGAGGACATCACAGACAGCAGACTGCAGAGAAAGTGCCTGTTCAGAGAGAACACAGACTTCAAGATGACGACTGAACCTCCACCCATGGCATCCACAGCTCTGTCAGTTAAGAGTCCAACCTCTGATTTAAATAAAATGCTTAGAAGGTACTCCTCCTTAAATTGCCACCTTATCAGGGTGGAGGAGTTTGAACATCTCAATGGGCCTAGAAGCAATATTGTTGGAGGCATTTGTCTCTGACAGGGTCTCCCAATGCAGATTAGTCCAGTGCAGTGTTTCTCCTACCATTATCATTCCTACGGTTTTCGTTTAGTTTTTTTTTCATTGTTTCCATTTACTTTTTCCATTTACCTTTTTTATGATTGTCTACTGTTGTCATCTGTGTTCTTTGTTTAAATCAGGTCTCTCTTGTAAAGGAGTTCTCGAGTTCATTGTTCTAGAATTGCGCCGCTCAAGGTGGCTGCATGTTGGAGCAGCTCTGTTACTTTCATTCTGAGATTTTGCTTTTGGAAACTTTAATTCCTCTTTTTCTGGATGTTAATCACATTTTTTTGATGATTGTTTCCTCTGGTATTGGATGTTGTGCAGCTGGAAGGATTTTTACTGAAACTTTTTTAGTTTTGGACATTTGTTATGATGCGTAACCATGGCAACAAGGCTGTTTTCTACAACCAACAGCAGCTGATTAGAGTCAGAGTCAGAGTCAGAGTTTCTTTATTGTCATTCGCACCTCATGTGGTACATGTGGTGGAGCGAAATTATGTACACAGGGTCCCAGTTACATCCAACAATAAAATGTATAAGAAAAACAGTAATAACATCTAAGATATGAACTAAGAAAAACATCAACTAAATATACACCAAGCACTCATAACATAAAACATTGAACATCAGCACAAACATGAACATGAGTCTGTGAGCGGATGTGCACGCATGAACACATCAACATTGAAACAGATCAGCAGCAACATGAAACAGATCAGCAGCAACATGAAACAGATCAGCAGCAACATGATATGGTTTTACACAGTGATTATTCTAGTTAGAGATTCATGAGTCTAACAGCCTCAGGGTAGAAGCTGTTCCTCAGTCTAGTGGTTCTACACTTAATGCTCCTTAACCTCCTTCCTGAGGGGAGTGGGGCAAAAAGTGTGTGTGCTGGGTGGGTGGGGTCCTTCATGATGCAGGTGGCCCTCTTCCTGCATCTGGAGGTGTAGATGTCTGTGATGGTGGGGAGACTGATTCCAACAGATTTCTGTGCAGCCTTCACCACTCTCTGAAAAGCTTTTCTTTCTGCAGCTGTGCAGCCTCCATGCCACACATTGATGCTCGAGCACAGGATGCTCTCCACTCCATTAGCATCTCAAAAGCTCAAATAATATCTCAACTACAGCCCCAAATCTCAAGTGAGTTGAAAAGGATGTTCTGTGGACGCATGCTCATCTACCTGCCAGCTGTGATCGAGTGCCTGACCACTGAGATTCTGGAACTAGCAGGAAACACGGCTCGTGACAGCAGAAGGACAGGATCGTCCCTCGGCACCTACAGTTGGCTGTCCGCAGTGACGAGGAGCTCGGCAGGCTGCTGGGAGGAGTGGCCATCGCACTGGGAGGAGTTTTTCCCGGCATTTGGGCGGTCCTACAGCCCGAGAGGAACCGAGATGCCAGCCGAGTCTGGGTGGGCGGATCAGACGGCATCTCCAGCCAGTTTCTTAGGATCTACTGTGGGATGAACCTTTACAAGAGATCCTTCCTGTTTACAACCATCAGTGTCTATAACATCTCTTAATGAAATGAGGATAACGAGTTACAACAACAAATAATTTCCCTCTGGGATTAATAAAGTATTTTTGAATTGAATTGAGGCTCAATGAGACTAACCTGTAGAAATAAAGATTGAATTGAATTATACAAGGAGGGTCCTGTCAAAACAACCAAGCGCCCTGCCTACCAAACTGGTGGTGAATTGGATCAGATGGTGGGGGAAGATGCCAAACAGACTCACCCAAACATGTAGTGAGACTTTGCTTGGAACGTCTGGCAGAAGAACCTGTCAGAAAGATCTTTAACTCACACCTCCACCAGTATGGGACTGGGAGCCCATTATTACATGTCATTCAGTCCCTATACAAGCAGTGTGAGAGTGTGGTTCGCATTGCCGGAAGTAAGTTGGACTCCTTCAGGGTGGGAGTTGGACTCAGCCGGGGCTGCCTGTTGTCACTGATTCTGTTCATAACTTTAATGGACAGAATGTATCGGTGCAGCCAGGAGCTGGAGGGAGTCCGGTTCAGTGGCCTCAGGATTCCATCTCTGCTCTTTGCAGATGATGTTGGCATCATCATGCCGTGATCTTAAGCTCTCACTGGAATGGTTCGCAACGGAGTGTGAAGCAGCTGGGATGAGGATCAGCACCTCCAAATCTGAGGCCATGGTCCTCAACCAGAAAAGTGCTGATTGTCCGTTCTGAGTTGGGGGTGAGGTTTTGCCTCAAGTGGAGGAGTTCAATTATCTTAGGATTTGTTCATGAGTGAGGGAAGAATGGAGCAGGAGATTGAAAGACGCATCTGTGCAGCATCTGCAATATTTCAGACTCTGTGCTGGTCTGTTGTGGTGAAAAGGGAGCTGAGCTATAAGGCGAAGCTCTCTGTTAACCGGTCGATCTACGTTCCTGCCCTCACCTATGACCACGAACTCTGGGTAGTGATCAAAAGAAAGAAATCGTGGATACAGGTGGTCGAAATGAGTTTCGTCCGGAGGATAGCTGGACTCTCCCTTAGAGACTGCGTGAGAAGTTCAGTTATCAGGAGAGACTCTGAGTGGAACTGCTGCTCCTCCACATCGACAGGAGCCAGTTCAGATGGTTTGGGCGCCTGATAAGTGTCCCCTGGGTGTCTTCCTAGGGAGGTGCACTGGAAATGCTCAACTGGGAAAAGGACCCGGGGAAGATTCAGGACACGCTGGAGACTGTCTCTGTGCTGGCCTGGGAATGCCAGAAAGAGATGTCTGGGCTTCCCTGCTCCCCTGCGGTCACAGTTGCCCCACGACCCAACTCCAGAACAAACAGAAGATAATGGATCGACGGATGAGTTTGAAATTAACTATTCAATGTACACCGACAACTGATTAACTTTTGATATGTCAATATCATTAAAAGTTGGCACCATAGCTGAGCTTAGCAATCACTGGACTGTACTTATATAGCGCTTTTCTATCAAGATACTCAAAGCTCTTCACATTTCAATCTGTGCCCTCATTTACCCCTTCATACAGCAATCTACTAGATCTTTACAAAGACTAACCAGAGCTTTAGCTCACATTAATACACCAATGGGACACACATCAGAGGCAATGAGGGGTTCAGTGTCTTGCCCAGGTATACTTTGGCATGTGACTGATAGTGGAATTGAACCCCCACCTCTCCCATTGGAGGACAACTGCTTTAACCACTTAGCCACAGCCGTCCCCAACTCAGTTTTAAAAGTTTGATGTGGTACTACCTAAAAGTTATTCACAACATTTATTTTATCACAAGGGCTGCATAATCCATCCATCCATTATCTTTTACCTGCTTCTTCCTGGTTGGGTCACAGGGGTCACTGGTGCTCATGTACAGCAGTCACTGTGCAAGAATCAGGGGGACACCTGACCCTGGACATGTCTCCAGTCTATCACAAGGACACAAACAGACAAACGAGACAAACAACCATTCACTCTCTCACTCACACCTAGAGACAATTTAGAGTTACCAGTCAGTCTAACATGTATGTTTTTGGTCTGTGGGAGGAAACTGGAGTACCTGGAAAAAACCCACGCATGAACGGAGAGAACATGCAAACGCCACCCAAAATGGCTCCCTGACCAGGATTCGAACTGGCGATCTTCTCACTGAAAGGTGTCAGCTCTACCAACTGCACCACAGTGCCGGACTGCAATGGCGTGGTTAAAACATTCATCATAGACTATTTTATTTCAAGGACTATGCACTCATGTTTTGCATACTTCATGCATACTTCTGGTTTAAATTATAGAGATGGCAGGAGAGAAAGTGAAGAATGATAAAAATGTGAGTTTATCACAACTGATAGTAATGTGGTTGTTCATTCAGCTACATCGTGTCTGTGTGCAAAACTGAATTTTTACGTATAGTTTTCGTAATGTTAATATTTGAGATTGAACACATCAATCACAAACAAGAATGCTACACGAAGACTGAAAAAACAATCAGGTACAGGCATCAAGACACAAACCAGAAGTGATTGAGAAAATGATTTGAAGGAGCTGTAAGTTTGTAAGAATAACAAACTGTTGACAGCTGAGTACTATGTGTGTTCTGTTTGTTTTGACCTGAATCTGGCAAAGTGACAAAATCACTGTCAAGTGAGGCACTGATAATTAATAGAACTATGTATGAAGCTATGAAGGTACTTCCTGCAAGAGCTGAACACAGAAAAATACATTGAAACTTCTACAAACACCTGCTATCAACTGAATCATTTTCATGGCTCATTGTGTGATGCAGGCCTCATGGAAACTGGAGGTTAGTGTGCACCTGAACAATGGGGAGTATGCTGAGCATCGGGGAGCTCTTGTTCTCATCCATAGGGGTCGGTGCAACAAAACTGAAGCCTTTGAAGAGCTGGTGGGCGTTAGCACTGGGTGGGATACCTGGGGAGTCTGAAAACACAAACAATTCATTAAACCAACAGATAACATACACACAAGTAAGACGTTTTAGATTAACAGCTGTAGACAGGGCTCAGTTGCAGTTTCCATGGCTGCAGAACTAGCTGCAGCTCATAAGGGAAACATAAGTGTGTACGCGTGTGTGTAAGTGTACCTTTAGGCGTTTTAGCGGTGAACTCCGGATCGAAGCAGAACGTGTCATCTGGTTTACCTGCTGCAGGCTTAAACGGGGGCTGCAGTTCTCTCCTGTACAGCTTCTAAGAAAAAGAAAATCAGGAACACACACAAGTCAGAAAACAAACCCTGCTGTGCGCTGCATGTACACACACGTGCAAGAGAAGATTCCCAGATTAACCCCCTCCAATCTGCTCTGCAGCCAAGTCCAGCCAATAGCATCCTGCTGGCTCCTAAACGCTCACGCAGGGCTATTAGTGCACACACAGCGAGGACTGGACAGCTGCCCAGGCTCACACACACACACATAAACAAAGTTGCTGTGGCCAGGACCGACGGTCACCAGTCATGAAGCCAAACGTTTGAAAGGTGTGAGGCCTCGGCAGAAGCTGCAGAGCCAAGTGTGCACATGTACGTGTGGGCATGTGAGAAACGAGGGGGAGAAGTGGCTCTGCTCACATTCCAGTCGATGGTGGAAAAGAACGGGTGACGTTTGATTTCCTCCACACCATCAGGCCCCGCCCCTAAAGACACAAAGCACAGTTCAGTTAACCTGATGTGAAGAGGACCAACACATTTGTTTTCTCTCGTGGTTAAACTGATCTCGTTTAGTTGGATGTCAAAAAGTTAAAAAGCTTTACGCAAGAGCGTTGTGCAATGTGACGATTAACACGATTATCCTTACCTAGTCTGTTAGCGGGGTTACGTTTAAACAGCATCCTCAGTAAACTTTGAGCTTCCAAACTGAGGAACTGAGGCATTCCCAACTTAGCTCTGAGTGAGAAGAGAAGCAGAGCAACAAGTGACTGCAGGTAACAAGAGAGGCTTAGAATAAAAAAGAAACAGCATTCATGAATTTTTAACTTAGATCAACCTGTTTCGAGTGTTTAAGTCCAAACTCACTTGAGAATCATGTTCATGGTTTCATTGCGATCTTTCCCTTGGAAAGGTAATGTTCCTGTTAGCATCTCAAACTGCAAACATTCAATAGAATAAAAAGCAGAATCAAATAAATATGCAGTAAATGAAAAATAAAAACAAGCTGTCAAAATGTATGAATGGATTTGTGTTTGTGTACCATAAGTACGCCCAAAGACCACCAGTCTGCACTCTGAGTGTGTCCTCTTCTGTTGACCACCTCAGGGGCCATATACTCCACCGTACCACAGAAGGAATACGCCTTTTTATCAGCATCTACTGATTCTTTACTCAAGCCAAAGTCTGCCCACAAAAAATTTCAAAGTAGTATGAGTAAGAAATATTTGAACCACTCCAAAACTCAAAAAAGTTTAGGGGTTTCATTTTATCCTCACATTCACGGTTCACTTAAACAAAGAACTGACTGAAAAAAGTAACTACCGGTAACAAAAAAAGCTATTTATTTAGCATCTTGAAATCACTATGAATCCGTAATAAGCACCTACCTGTTAATTTTATATGCCCAGCTTCATCAAGTAAGATGCTGAAAGAGAAAAGATTTTGTCCAGAGGTGAGCTTCAAAAAGCAGGTGAACGCCACGTAAACCTACATAACATGTAAAACACCACTTCTTTATCTGAACCGTTTCTGTGAAGACAGACAGCTTTCACTTAACTCCGCAAAATGATTCAAACTCTGCAAACAAACTCCTAAAATAGACGCTTGTTATGGATCACCTCTCAGTCCATTTTTAATTATTGCCCACCACAGAAAAGCGAAAGGTAGAGAAGAGTATTTACCTCTGGGTGTGTGAACATATTTCATAAACCACATGATTTTGTTTAACTGAAACTCTCAAAAAGGAATAAATGAATGTACATCTACATATTTCAAGATTGCCGCCACAGCCAACTGTCTTTAAAAACCAAAACCTCGGTACTTAAAACTCTGAATTTTATAGATATGAACCTAAATTTGCTGTGGCAACAACAGAGCACCATCCCCATCACATATTCTGAACACTAACCGACTGAGCATGATGTAGTTTTAAAACTTTATCATTAACTATTTAGCAATGTTAGCAAAATGTCATAAATCAATAAAAGATTTTCAATGAAACTGTCAGAATAATTACGCGTGCCTTTATAAGTTATGAATTTTTGGAGCCAACCAAATTCTCGATGGCTGCCACATGACGTTAGAAAACACAGGAATGGCTATATCTCCGTCAGTTTACAGATGCTCAGCTCGATTTGGGAGGAACTCAACAAAATCTATAAGCTCTACGCTGAGCAAAGTCTGCGCTTAACATTAACTGTTGGAGTCAAACCCATTTGTTAGCAAAAAATCTCACACACCATTGGAAGATTTTGATACATGTACTTCAGAAAGTCATCACTGCATGTACATCAACAGATGGCCGCCACAACTCCATATTCACCAACACAAAAATGGATATAACTATGTCAACTTTACAGATGTGCTCACTGAGAGGACACTTTTTAAAAACTGACAATCGGCCACATCTGTACAAAGTTAAATAATTACCAAGTAGGGAATAAAGACGCAGCAGCTGCTACAACCAGCTCACTGAAGCCCATTATTTATTTATTTTTTTAAAAGCAAGAAAGCTTTTTATTTTTCTAAGGGTTGGTATTTATACATTTATTTAGGTTAGGCAATTATTATTGCTTTGTTAAACAGAAAATATTTACTGGCTACAACTAAAAATATCTATAATAGCTCATACTGGCTATCGACTGCCCTGATTTCTAAAGAAAAATTCACATCAGTCAACCTCTAATACTTACACAAGCTCTCGGTCAAATCTGGGTCAGATTTCACCAGGTGTTTGTGCAAATGTGTCATATTCAAGTGAAATTGTTCGTATTTTCCTCACAATTGTGCATCACCAACTAGTCTGCAGCAGATGCGGTGCAGTGAGAAACTAGCTTTAAAACATGGTAGATGGAGTGTGGTGCTCAGATTAATCAGGGAATGAGGATTCATACTTCTCTGGTTTGAGATCTCTGTAAACTATGCCCAGGTTGTGCAGATGGTCGAGGGCCAGAGCCAGCTCTGCAAGGTAGAATTTCACATCTTCCTCTGTAAACATAACCTGATAAGAACTGGACAAATTTACTCTCCGAACTTATGAGAGAAATTCAGCAGCAAAAAGAACAAAATCTACAACTTCAGTATTACGCTTCAATTGCAATAAAGTGAGAAAAACAATATTAATACTGTGACAAAATCAACATTTCAACACATGATTCAGCCGGTTGTTTGACACTAGCAGATCACACTATGGTTTGTGAGACACTTTCAAGTTAAGGTCTGGAGAACACAGATTGTTGAAATACTGCGAAAGCTGACGACAAGCAGCTCACAGTGTAAAACCAAATCAGCCTTCCTATGAAAAAAGTTCCCAGGAGGAAGTCTAGTCAGAATTTAAATGAAAAGCACACAGGATATAAAACAGGGACAAATGGCTTGGGAGTATTTCGGCTTTTATTAAACAAATAAAATATTCCTGCATATTAAATGTGCACCTGCTCAATTTGTAGCTGTCAACTTAGTTCCTTTGGGTTTAGAAACAAGCACTGCGCCATCTGCTCTGCTCATGTCCACAAACATGACTGATAAATACATACACATCTAAAATGTATATTTTTCTTCTCAACAAGGACAGAAAACTAAAACGGACAAATATGCTAGTACACTTTAGTAGTACTAAAATGTAAGGCAACAAAGTTGTGAGCTTACCTCTTTGGATAAGCGAGTGAATACATCCCCTCCCCTGAGAAAGTCCAGTATTAAATACAGTTTCCCTTCCGTTTGAAAGGCTGCAGAGGAACAGAAATTAATGTCACAGCTCCACGTTGAACACGTTTCTCTACTTTCTGCTTCCCTTCACTGGCTTCCAGGCTATTTCAAATTCTAAAATTTGTGACAATAGATTTTAAAATTCATGTGTACGTTTTTAATCTCTTTACAGATCTGCCTTTTCTCATCTCTGAACTGATGCAGCAATATTTACCACCATGATGCTTCCACTGGTTTCATCACCAGGATGCAAGTTCACAAAGACCTTTAGCTGCTGCAGGTCCAAACCTCTGAAGGACTGCAGTGGCAGGCTCCCTTTTTATTTTTGTTTAAAAACATAGTTTTGACCTATTATTGCAAGAGGTGGACTTTGACCTTAGGGTGCGTTTATTCATTTGTTTCGTATTTGTACTTGTCCTGTAAATGTATGCATTTCTTGTTCTGGTGTTGTTTTATTTTACAGCACTTTAGTTTTTAAGTGCTTTATAAATAAATTGATATTTAATGGCATTGTACACATTTGTTATTTTAAAATCCACAGTTTACAGACCAAAAAGAAAAAAAAAACAGCTGTTAAAACGCCAACACGTCTGCACATTCACTTTGAATAGTTATAGAGTGATGCCAGTGGTGAATGGCAGCATTTACAGCAACATATGATAACAATGGTATTGGACCGTATCAATACTAATGTGATGGGATCAATACTTCAGGTAGTTTCACTCTCAGTATGTTGCTCCTGTTTCAGATAAACTATGCTGCGCAGGAGGAGCCAAGATCAAGATATGAACACTGGTCAAAACCTTTATGTCAGTTAATAATTTAATCAGCTCTGATGGCAAAACTACTTCAGAAATCAATACACACACACATGCTAACGTGTGTGTATTGTCATGTGTGTTTTTTTTTACAACTTATCCAAACCATATTCAACCCTGAATTAAGCTGCATGCTTGTTGTGTACACGTGTGTCTCTTACCGTAGTGCAATTTCACTATGAAGGGATGATTAACTTCCACTAAAATGTCTCTCTCCATCTTAGTTCGAACTCTGTCCCTGACTGGAGACAAAACAGGAAGTGAAAGTGAGAGAAGTTATGAGCTGTGGAGTTTTGTGTTGCCGTAAGAACAAAAACAGTGTTACCTTTCAAAGATGCTTTTTTTAACACTTTCATTGCATATAACTGACCAGCATCTGGACCCAAGATCTTCCTGACAAGAAACACCTGAGTGAAATAAGAAAGTGTTTAGGACACAAACCCTGTCAGAAATATTTAACACTAGAAGCCACAAAGAATCCATTTTTAGTGAAAAAAAGATTAAAATAAGAACATGAAAAACTTTCTGTAGAACTTCAAATACGGCCTGATGCCAGTACAAATATGGACCCAAAGAAAATCTCACACAGACCCATACTGGTTATTACATTTTAATAGAATATATTTTTAACCTACAGTACATACATTTTCTTGTATTTACAGTAACTCATTTTAAAAAGTCCAGCATTTCCAGCTTTTGTGGTAATTTCCACATGATGGACTGCAGCGTTCGTGTGCAGGATGAATTCTCTAACTCGGCAGAGAGGCAGTGCAAAGACAAACCTAATAAAACAAAACCTGAATTAAAAAAAAACAAAAAAAAAACAGTATGACTGACAAAAAAATTACTTTTTTTTTAGGATTTTAGAAGTTTATTTTTTATCCAGACTTGGATGGACTCCTACATTTCTTCCTGCATCTTTGCTTGAAAAAAGTTATTCTGAGTGGACGTTGGACATTTTTACTGAAGACCACAGACCTATAAGCTGCAGTTTAACTGATGAGTGAGTGACTTTTTGTTTTCTATAATTTAATTTACCCTGTTTGATGTACTGCCACAAAAAGACACAGAAAACTATTTTAACCAAGCTGCACATTTTGATGTAGTTTTTTTTTTCCACAGTCCAAACCTGCGAGAGGAGTAGCAAATTAAAAAAGGTTGAAAATTTAAAAATACTGTAATGGCTGAATACTACCAACGGTGCTTTGATGTAATACCATTAATATTTTTTCTCATGTCCACACTATTTCCGTCAGGGCTTATTCTAATTTTAAAAATATATACATTGAAACGTAGCAAAATACAGACTCTTTAATTATTGTCATTCCTAAGGCTACAACTACAAAGGGTAAAAATGAGCTTCTCTGGAGTTTCTCAAACGTTAAGTGGTCTACTGACTGAGTATACTCACCTTGCCAAAAGAGCCCTGACCGAGGACTTTGAGTAGTTCAAACTGAGATGGATCAGCTTTCTCACAGCCCTCTTTCACATGGTGGGTGATAGGAATCTCTTTGTATGTTTCATCATCCTACAAGAAGCAACATCGCCATGAAAGCAACACTCAGTGTGGTAGGTACATCATGACAATTGCACAAAGACTTCAATGCAGTTTTACTTACACAGTTTGAGAATGACTCTCCCTCGTCCATGGGCTCATCCATGATCTGATGTCCATTGACCTGCGGCACACACAAACACATGCACACAAAAATAAACTATCAGATGTCAACAATAAACATTTTCACGAAGCTTATTCATTCTTGTTTTTCGCTGAGCAGGACTGTGACTGCAACTGCTGCACACCCACATAAACGATGGAAGATTCAACAGATGAAATCAATGAGTCACATGTGAAATGACAGTGCTCTCACTTTTCCATCTAAAGCTTAAATTTGTTGTTAAACACTCAGTCAGGACTCCATATTTTAATCTCACCCAGCTGTCCGGCTTTCATCCTATCCTCATAAAAACCCTCAGTATTAGCATCCGAGCTTAATCCCCAGCTGGTGCAAAACAACATCTCTGACCAGCTACAGTCAGCGTTCATCCTCCAAGGGTGAAAAACAGATCTTGTGCAGCTCTGGTTGACAAATGTGGAAAAAATGCTTTGAGACTTGCTTTATTCTACACAGATTTACATGTGAAGGTCTGTTTTATGTGTATTTTGTTCACTAAATCAAACAAACTGTTAAAAAGGGGGACAGTTGTCACCGTTGTCAGCCTCAAGACGTACAACAGACAAAAATCTCAGGAACAACATCCAGGTTCGAGCGGTTCACGTTTCCATTAAACATGGACTGCATTATGTATTCAGTCCAGTGTGTTTGTGTGTGTTGAATTCCATCAAGGCTCTGAAGAGGGAGGATGAGTCATAGCGCTACGCAAGCCCACTCAGTGGGTGGAGCCGCCAGCTTGCACTCTGAACAGAAGGCAACAAAACACCTCCCAGCATCTTACCCACAACATCAGGACCATCACCCAGAAGTTTTCAAAACCCCATATCACACCGAGTAAACCTAAACAGGAAAAAGCTTTGTGCATCTGTGATAATACACCGTCCAGGCTGGTCAAAGCCAGGGCAACACTTGTGTCATAATTCACACTTGGATTTTCACTCCCACCTTTTGCTGTGGCTCATCACAGCTTGTAAGCGAGTGCAGCCTACACTCACAGCACACCCCAGCAAGCCTCTTTTCTGCCTTTCCGAAGCGCGTCTGTGACACTTAAGCACATATCATCATGTCAGCATCACAAAGGTTGACAGAACCCAAGTGTTAAGGTCAAAACTGATGTAAAGTGGATTTAAGGGTCGTCAACGCTTTTGAGGCTAATTTGTGCTGTGACAGAGTATTTATTGTGGGCTAAGATGAGAAACTCTGGAACTTCAAAAGGGATGCTCAAACAATGAGAAACTTTCTAAATACATCAGGGAATTAATTTTAAATTAATCACTTTACAGAACTACAGCAGGTAAATGGATTAGTCATGATTGAATAAACACAGCTTGGCTTTACACCACACATATTTACAAAGTTTTGACTGCACATGTGAAGTACTGCAACAATACCTGAAACACCTGGAACATTAAAATGTGGCTCGCTTACAAACAGCATCACTCATTTTAAACTGCAACTGACAAGTCTGCGGGCAGTTGTTTTGTACTTTCCCAAACAAAAATGGCATCAAGTGTAAGTTTAAACACATGTACACCTTTCTATTTTACTATGTGAACATAAAAGCGTTTAACTAACCCCCGTTTTATTTAGACTGCCGCCGTTTGTTAAAAAAAACTTGTCCCCAACTTTAGAGCCTGCAAGCTGTCAACTAGCATGCTAACACTAGCTAATGCTATGCTATGAAGTAAACTCCTGAGCAAAGAACAACAAAGAGCTAAAATGAGCTCACGTGTCAAGAAATACAGAAACCAGTTCGTGTACTGAGGTGAGAGTCTCGGTAAGAACCCAAACGGACGGCTGTGAAACTAATACAAAGTGGCGCTGAAACTGAAATAAACATAAAAGCAGCTGCTAGCCGTAGCTAGCGTGTTAGCATGCATCAGAGCGCTGGTCGTGACGCGGACCCGAGCCTCGCAGCTAACTTAACGGGACGTCACAACGCAAAATAACCGATCCGATAAATATGCAAAGCACGCATTTGTTTTCCCCTCACCTCACTGCTAACGCTGTTTACCTCCATCTTGTACCAGGAATATCCTCTCCTTGAAGTCTAAGACATCGTAGTCCACCTAGAGCTCCGCTCCACGTTGCATGTCTTTCCCCTTCCCGTGTCTGTGGAAGTCCGAGGGGCTGTTTGTGTCCTGGCGGTCCGCTGCGGAGAAGGCTGCCGGGGTTAGCGGACCGTTATGTCGGGAGGACGGGTTCGCGAGGAGCAGGTCGGTTCGTGGTGTTGTGGGGGGAAACTGTTGATGCTGACCGGGACCACAGACGCTCACCGAGAGCAGCGCTTCAGCCTGCCATAACTGCGAACATGGCGGCCACCGTGGTACCTGACCGTTGGTGAATGAGTTTTATTGACGTATTTGTGACGCAGCTCGGTTAAGGATTTCCCCCCAGTCCAAAGCAAAGCAGCATATCTCCAGACAGAGGAGGGCGCGTGGATGTGGTTGAACAGGAGGAGGGGGGCGGGGCTACGAGTGACACAATCACATCCGGTGGACAGACAGACGTTCGTGTTTGAAGTGCCGCCGCTGTGTTCAGCGAGAAGTTTCCCAAAGTTGGAAACAACAAGAGACTCTCCGGACCCGTCGAAACTCTAAGATGTGTAGGGGTGTGCAAATGTTTGAAAAATACTGCAAATGTTTGAAAAATACTGCACCGTAAGCTCGCCCAGTAATTCATGAGGAAGTAAGAAGCTTTTCTCTCACGCACGCTCAGCATTTACCTAAGGCTCTGGATCACGTGTCAGACTCATGGCGCTCACCTGGGTCAGATGATGGACCCCCAACATGATACATGTTGTTGATAAACACAACTTTTGCTGTTTATTTACATGATAACTATTGCATGCGTTATAATACCATACTGCCAATATTGGTGGTCGCATTAGCAAATATCTCTATCTATCTATCTATCTATCTATCTATCTATCTATCTATCTATCT